GTGGCTGTGGCTGCTGCACGTTCCGCTTTCCACGGCAGGTAACCTGCATCCGGAGGCAGCGCCTGCGGCCGACCTGCAGGGGAGGGGCAGGGGGAAGGAAGCATCGCCCAGGCCCCTGCCTCCTGCCCTCGCTGCAGCAGGAAGCCAAGGTGCTGGGCAGGGGGCGCTCTCCCCCGTAAGGTGGGATGCAGTGGGGCGGGGGTCATTCACCCCTGTAAGGTGGGATGCAGTGGGGCAGGAGGCACTCACCCCTGTAAGGTGGGATGCAGTGGGGCAGGGGGCACTCACCCCTGTAAGGTGGGATGCAGTGGGGCAGGGGGCACTCACCCCTGTAAGGCAGGAAGCCAAGGTGCTGGGCAGGGGGCGCTCTCCCCCGTAAGGTGGGATGCAGTGGGGCGGGGGTCATTCACCCCTGTAAGGTGGGATGCAGTGGGGCAGGAGGCACTCACCCCTGTAAGGTGGGATGCAGTGGGGCAGGGGGCACTCACCCCTGTAAGGTGGGATGCAGTGGGGCAGGGGGCACTCACCCCTGTAAGGTGGGATGCAGTGGGGCAGGGGGCACTCACCCCTGTAAGGTGGGATGCAGTGGGGCAGGGGGCACTCACCCCTGTAAGGTGGGATGCAGTGGGGCAGGGGGCACTCACCCCTGTAAGGTGGGATGCAGTGGGGCAGGGGGCACTCACCCCTGTAAGGTGGGATGCAGTGGGGCAGGGGGCACTCACCCCTGTAAGGTGGGATGCAGTGGGGCAGGGGGCACTCACCCCTGTAAGGTGGGATGCAGTGGGGCAGGGGGCACTCACCCCTGTAAGGTGGGATGCAGTGGGGCAGGGGGCACTCACCCCTGTAAGGTGGGATGCAGTGGGGCAGGGGGCACTCACCCCTGTAAGGTGGGATGCAGTGGGGCAGGGGGCACTCACCCCTGTAAGGTGGGATGCAGTGGGGCAGGGGGCACTCACCCCTGTAAGGTGGGATGCAGTGGGGCAGGGGGCACTCACCCCTGTAAGGTGGGATGCAGTGGGGCAGGGGGCACTCACCCCTGTAAGGTGGGATGCAGTGGGGCAGGGGGCACTCACCCCTGTAAGGTGGGATGCAGTGGGGCAGGGGGCACTCACCCCTGTAAGGTGGGATGCAGTGGGGCAGGGGGCACTCACCCCTGTAAGGTGGGATGCAGTGGGGCAGGGGGCACTCACCCCTGTAAGGTGGGATGCAGTGGGGCAGGGGGCACTCACCCCTGTAAGGTGGGATGCAGTGGGGCAGGGGGCACTCACCCCTGTAAGGTGGGATGCAGTGGGGCAGGGGGCACTCACCCCTGTAAGGTGGGATGCAGTGGGGCAGGGGGCACTCACCCCTGTAAGGTGGGATGCAGTGGGGCAGGGGGCACTCACCCCTGTAAGGTGGGATGCAGTGGGGCAGGGGGCACTCACCCCTGTAAGGTGGGATGCAGTGGGGCAGGGGGCACTCACCCCTGTAAGGTGGGATGCAGTGGGGCAGGGGGCACTCACCCCTGTAAGGTGGGATGCAGTGGGGCAGGGGGCACTCACCCCTGTAAGGTGGGATGCAGTGGGGCAGGGGGCACTCACCCCTGTAAGGTGGGATGCAGTGGGGCAGGGGGCACTCACCCCTGTAAGGTGGGATGCAGTGGGGCAGGGGGCACTCACCCCTGTAAGGTGGGATGCAGTGGGGCAGGGGGCACTCACCCCTGTAAGGTGGGATGCAGTGGGGCAGGGGGCACTCACCCCTGTAAGGTGGGATGCAGTGGGGCAGGGGGCACTCACCCCTGTAAGGTGGGATGCAGTGGGGCAGGGGGCACTCACCCCTGTAAGGTGGGATGCAGTGGGGCAGGGGGCACTCACCCCTGTAAGGTGGGATGCAGTGGGGCAGGGGGCACTCACCCCTGTAAGGTGGGATGCAGTGGGGCAGGGGGCACTCACCCCTGTAAGGTGGGATGCAGTGGGGCAGGGGGCACTCACCCCTGTAAGGTGGGATGCAGTGGGGCAGGGGGCACTCACCCCTGTAAGGTGGGATGCAGTGGGGCAGGGGGCACTCACCCCTGTAAGGTGGGATGCAGTGGGGCAGGGGGCACTCACCCCTGTAAGGTGGGATGCAGTGGGGCAGGGGGCACTCACCCCTGTAAGGTGGGATGCAGTGGGGCAGGGGGCACTCACCCCTGTAAGGTGGGATGCAGTGGGGCAGGGGGCACTCACCCCTGTAAGGTGGGATGCAGTGGGGCAGGGGGCACTCACCCCTGTAAGGTGGGATGCAGTGGGGCAGGGGGCACTCACCCCTGTAAGGTGGGATGCAGTGGGGCAGGGGGCACTCACCCCTGTAAGGTGGGATGCAGTGGGGCAGGGGGCACTCACCCCTGTAAGGTGGGATGCAGTGGGGCAGGGGGCACTCACCCCTGTAAGGTGGGATGCAGTGGGGCAGGGGGCACTCACCCCTGTAAGGTGGGATGCAGTGGGGCAGGGGGCACTCACCCCTGTAAGGTGGGATGCAGTGGGGCAGGGGGCACTCACCCCTGTAAGGTGGGATGCAGTGGGGCAGGGGGCACTCACCCCTGTAAGGTGGGATGCAGTGGGGCAGGGGGCACTCACCCCTGTAAGGTGGGATGCAGTGGGGCAGGGGGCACTCACCCCTGTAAGGTGGGATGCAGTGGGGCAGGGGGCACTCACCCCTGTAAGGTGGGATGCAGTGGGGCAGGGGGCACTCACCCCTGTAAGGTGGGATGCAGTGGGGCAGGGGGCACTCACCCCTGTAAGGTGGGATGCAGTGGGAGCAGCCATGGACGAGGAGGGGTCGGCGGAGCAGGAGTCATGGTAAGGGGGGAGCCACTTGGGGGGCTCAAATCTACTGAACTGTGGCCCCCGCGTCACCCCACCCGGTGAGACTCGATGCTGCGCAGGGCGGGGGGTTCCGGATTGTCCCCCCGCCAGGGAAACTGAGGCACCACCAAGGGGTGGTGACTCCTTCTGTAACTAGGAGACCACACTCCTCTCCCAGAGCTGGGCTAGAACCCACGAGTCCTGGCTTGCAGTCACCCCTCCCCCCCGCTCTAACTACTAGGCCCCACTCCCCTCTTCCCCCAGTGGCGGTGAGCCCGCCCCGCTCTAACCGCTAGACCCTTCTCCCTTCCCAGCCCTCGGAAGAGAGCCCAGGAGTCCTGGCTCCCAACCCCCCCCCCAGCCAAGTTTGCATGGCCCCAGACTCGGTGCGTCCGGGCAGCAAGCGGAATTGCAGTTTCCCAGACGCAGCACCGAACTGCAGGGACGGGGCCCCAGCGGTGCCCCAGCACTGCCACAGGGCAGCTCCAGCACTGGGGGGCAGAGATGGGGGGGTTCCTGTGGCACTGCTGGGGAAGCTCACAGCACCCCATTC